CTGGTGAAAATTTCATGTCATTAGCACCTCTAGTAATATATTTACTGAGAAAAATGGTGACGTGTTCAATACTTATTTTACCCGCTGTATTCATTGGATCAGTGTGGGTACTTGTGTTTTCCAAAGGATGTTATAAAGATTTGTTTTGATTTGTGTTTTCAGATAACATGAGATCAGTTATCACTGTGTGGCACCTGCTCTTAGTGTAACTGTCGGAAGGAAACGGTCATTGTAGTACCAAATTAGAGTCAGACCCCAAAGAGGGGTAACAAGGAGGCGATAAATTTCATGAAAACTGGACTCTACATGCTGCAGCCTATAACAGTAAGGTTGTATTTTTAAAGAGGGCATAGGTTTATAACATTATGTAACAGTTTATTAGAATTTGAAAGCATTTAACAGAAATCATGTGTGTTTCCACTGTAGAAAGGTCTTTCACTTAAAGGCCAAACAGCAGGAGCTAAACTACACACTAAGTTCCAGAAAAATGGCTAAAGTTACACAACAAAGTACAGCAAAAAAAGTCAGTAATATTTTTTACTTTATAAGAGAGGACAAAAACTTGTTTTTTTTTTTTTTTGTGAATGAATTAAAATACTGTACGTCATGAGGTTAGAAACACCAACCAAATATCCACATTTAAACTACAAACAGTCAAGCCTGAAGTCTGAAAACAGATAAAACACTGAGAGTTTGCTTTCAAGATATGTTTACCTGCTCTTTGTGAAGCTTTTACAAGTCCCTGCCTGAGAACCTCCCGCACCCAGGTCTTCACCTTTGCCCTGTTTTCTCCTCCCACAACAGAAACCACCAGGTTGGGTGCAGGAAGATGCCAGTGGGATGTGATCATGGTGTAAACCAGAGACGGTGAGGTGTTCCCTGACAGACGCAGGAACTGTGCTCCCCATGACAGACAAATTAGATGTTTGGTTGAACAAAAGTGTCATGTTACATGTAAACAAAAAACTGTTAGGGATGAAGCTCAGATAAGCAAAAAATTAAATACAATTGCATGTGATTTCACAATCTTATATTCAGTGCAGAGGTTTGATTATTGAAAATACTGACTACTGCAGCAAGCTCTTAATAATATTTTGTCATATATTATATTATATTGAATTATATTATATTATATTATACATGTACTATTATGTAATTTAATAACCAGTTCAGAGAATAGTTATCAGATTCTTAGAAGGGCTCTCACATAGCTGTGTCTCTTGCTGGCTCCTGCAAACTGCACCTCTCCAAAGGCATCAGTCGGGTATTCAGATGAATGCTGGGCGCTGTCCCAGTGGTTCACCATGGCTGTGCTGAAAAAGTCCCCGAGAGCCACAGACGTGTGGGCATCTCTCGCATTTCCACACTGACACAGAGCTCCATTACTGACAGAGGTGGAAGGATKACAGGCTCAGTGATCGTCTGCTAACATCACAACATCAACAGAATAATCATCACAACCAATACCTGAAAGAATCCTCCACAAAGGTGGTGCACACTCGTTTTTTGAAGACCTTTGGGATCCAACTCTGAAAACATTTTCAACATGTTCACAAACTGAATTACAATTTGTTTTAATCTAGTATTTTTGTGCATGAGGTTGCAGAATGTAGAATACACTGTCGATAAATGTTATCAAGGTAAGATGAGTTATTCCACCTTTAAACAGACTTTTATACACGCATATATGAAATTAACCCAGTTCTTGTCATAGTTTTGTTTGGTTAAGTCTTTTATAAACTCACTTGATATCTTGTAGTCTATGTTTCAATTTTTGAAAATAGGTTTACCATGCGGGATTTGGTTTTATTAGGTATAAAAGATTTATAAATTGTATTATTTTACAAATTGTTAAGTGTAAACACTTAGAGTAAACTAACATATTGTGTGGAAGGAAAACATGGGTATTCTTGCTGATAGCTAGCTTAATAAATTTCATGCTAATTGTTACAAAAAGTCAGACAAGTTACTAAAAAAATGTTTGTTTGTTTGTTTGTTTGTTTGTTTGTTTGTTTGTTTGTATTCTCTTCACTTTTGCGTTGTCGAAAATCCAGCTTCCGATTCGGGAAATGACTAAAGGGATATTACAACTAATTTTTCACTCCCTTG